GGATAGAAACTGGATGGGACAATCTTCTGAACAACTGGTTGATCCTGTTACTCATGAGTGCTTCTGTGTACTTCTCTTTCTGGCACAAATGTGGGGAGGTTTGCTTTTGACAATTCATTTAGCAGGTGGATAAATTTAAGTGAACGATTGGTTGTCCAGTTCACCATGTATGCTCATGTACAAACACCAGGAGAGAGACACAAATGGCAGTCATTTAAAATTGAATGAGTGGGTAATTTAACGATCTTGAAGGAAGAGCAAGAAAGTCATTCGTCCATTACTAATAGCGTCAGCGGAGGAGAACTATCTTGCCACACACTAGCTGGTCAGAAATTAATGCAAATACAGGCTATATGTAAATGCCAAATGGAAAAGAAGCAAAATTGGGCTGCCCTAAGAAAGTATTGTCACCCATGTCGACTCGTAGGCTCAGAACAATCCATGACTTTCCTTTCCTTTTACCATATCAGTTGACATGTATCACGAGACCACTTCTGGGCCTGAAGTTCTGCAGACGTCAAGACTTCTCTAGCTGGTACGCAGCTTCGATAATGTTTCCATGGAGGACTGGGAGCACCGAATCAATGCCACTTGCAAAGCACACAGCCTTCAATCACGACTTTACATCCAACAGTCTGATTCAATCGACATCGCGTTGCTTTGGTGAGACTACATTGGGGGGAAAATCTCTAACCAATTGACTCATTTCAGATTTGTGGTTCATCCAAAAAGGATGGCATTTCTCTGGTCCTTGCAGACTACTGCAGGTTGTTGCAATTAGCAATGTGTACAACCACGGTCTAGTTTCCTCCAGTCCAGAGCACACGCACGGACTTTTAATGTCAGACACAGGAAAGTGCCCAACCCGAAATTGTCTTGCTTTTGCCTCGACTGTGATGGGTGGAATTCAGCCGCAGAATTCAGTTAAGAACTGCAAATATACCAGCGTTTGCTGCGCCTCCAAAAAGGGCAATTTTCTTAAGGACCGTGGTATTTTTCTTCATTAGGCTACTGCTGAAAGTGCCATAGTGATGTTACCCCATCCACTCCACTCCACTGCATTATGCTCTACTGTCTCTCTCAAATCTGCTTCAACTTGTGCTCACCCCTCAGCTGCCCTCTTTCCATCATACTTGCACATGTTGGCACATGGCCGAGGTGAAGCGACGTGAAACAAAACGCGTGGATACAAAGGACAAGGCGAATAAAGCATCGTTACATTGCATTGATTAGCATAATGAAGGCAAATTAAGAATCTTGCATTCTTGTGTGATTCAGGGTTACATTACTCAGGTTTAGTATGTTTCAAACCAGGGCAGAACATCGACTAACTACATTAGCCCTGTGAACAACTTCCTTTACTACCCACATTCCCTTCTCCATCCACTGTTGCTCCACAAAAGCAATATCGAGGCCTCCTCTCTCTGTTGACAGTAGGCTGCGCCGGTGCGATATTCAGAAAGGAGGAGGCGAAGAAGGAAATACATTGGCACGTGGTGCGTTGAAATTCCTTCCCGCTGGGCTGAACATCTCCTAAACGGACATCCTGGAGCTGAAGGACACAGCAGACAAATGCAGTTTCTAGCAAAAACAGGTCTGCTCTATGGAGCCAACGTGACATGCCGTGTGCCGCTGAGGCCTCCTTTTGTCTTTAAGCGACATCAAAGATGCCGCCTTACATTGGGCACACTTCAGTGATTGACTAACCTCTTTTTAGCCAAAGGAGCGAAGTCCCTCCATTCGCCTATCCGCCTACCCATTTTTTGTTTGTTCCCACTGCTTTTGCACAATGGGAGCAACGAAAGAATGGCATGCTTGACTGATGCAAATGTCGCCGACTGCTTGATTTGAATACCCGAAAGGTCGATTTTTGCCTGATAAGTGAATTACATTGAAGAGATTTGACGAAAAAACCCCTCTCCATTTGTGACCATTAAACACTCGTGGATACACACCTGCGAGAATATGTCTTTAGCAAATTTATGGATGCCAAATGGACAGAATTTGGCCAGAATCGTGGCGAATGAGCTCACATCTTGACGTTGCACAGCAAAGTGAGGGCCTGACTTTGGCTGACTGATAATGACAGTATTTGGTTAACTGACGCTTGCGCTGAACATAATTTGGCGTTGGCAATGCTGATGGAAATGTGCACTTACCTATGAGAATTGCTCACCATATGTCAAATGCTCGTTGAGTTACGTTATGAAGACTAGTAAGAATCGCTGAAGCAAAGAAGTCACACGACCCGTTAACTCAGATGTTGGACACACAAGAGCCTTCTGGTCACTAGTAGCAGCATTCTCCATTCTTATTCCCTTTCCATCAAATGTCTCCAACCTTGACCGTGAGTTCGAAAGGTGGGCAACTGATAGGTATTTGATAAGGGTAGCATAGGAAATGCGCTGGCTAAATGCACTCCCACAACCCAATGCAGTGCATTTGAAGACCTCACATGGATATAAATTGCAGTATGTCCCATCGCACTACCCCATTGCACATTGCCCTCCTAATGTGGTTGAATGCTCTCTATCTTAGTAGTGTGGCCTTTACTTTCACTTTCACCTTTTCCCCTCCCTCTCTTCCACTACCTTTTTCTCCCATCCAAACGGCAGCAGTTTATACAAGTGTTTGAAGTCAAAAGCTACAACTATGAGAATGAACAGTTGTAAAACACGCCATATTGCGACGAGAGGGAAGTGTGGAAGCAAAAGTTTACAAACTTATTAACTTAGCAGATGGTAAAGGGAAGAACTAGCTGGTAAATGCAGGCAAAAAACACTTCTTTCCCCTTCCCCCTTCATAGCAAATGCCTCTAAACTGCGTAATGAATTAGAAGTAGTCAAATGAGTCATTTGGCTACCTACGAGAGTGAATTTCACAGAATAAGCATAGGTAAGTAATTTAATGGAGAGTAGCATTAAGAAGACATCTGAAGGAACTAAATAGCAGTGCAGAAGTGTACACGCAAAATCAACAAAAGAGTTAATAAAATGGCCTTCTTTCGCTTCCCACTATATCTCCCTCTTCATGTCTTGCATTTGCTCTTGTTCTATCTCGTGCTCTCTCGCCTCAGAACTCCATCCATTGATCAGCCTTGGACTGGAATTCTACCTTATTCGGTAACTAGCATACTGCAGCAACTGTCCACTGGTCGTTAGCTGACAGTCACATTTCACTCCAATCCCGCATGCATTCCAGAATCACCACTTCTTCTACCTTCTGCCTGCCTTAAAAGGAGTGCAGGTTGACGCATTGTACTCTGTGACTGCAGTTTGTCCTCCTGATGTGGACAAATGCGTTCGTTCAAACCCAAATAGCGTTTGCTGACGAATGATGTTGAGGAGTGCATTAACCAAACAAATGACTAACCAACCAAATAGTTCTGCCTCGCGACACGCGCGGAGTGTACCCATCATC